CGTGCATGTTTTTTCCAAATTGCACTCGAAACCATACTATTACCTATGCAAATATATTTTACATTATGCGAGATTTGTTTATGTCTTTAACAATGTACCTAACTGTTTTGCCATAGGACTGACGCTGAGAAAATGGAAAGGAGAGACAAAACATTGAGACAACTCTTGGGATTTTTTCCAAGTAAGACTTTTGGCACACCGTATAGCCACGGTTTGTTTTTGCAGCTTAAATCGTTTGTGTTTGCCCCCTTAAAGTATAATTCATTTCTCAACTAGCACCACTGGTGAAACTTCTTGGTAAACAGAGATACAATGAAGGACTGACTGCCATATTTGAACTACTGCAGTATGAACAACTCAACAAGCAAGTAAGTGTTTTAAAAACAACGAGATTCATGTCTACCATCTTCCACATTGCTGGATGAACATTTTAAAGAAAGTCGAACTTAATTCAACATCTTCCAGTATCAGCCAGCATTGCCCAACGTAGTGTCACTTCTCATTATAAATATCCTGGCTTCAAAATTGACTCATTGAATTCACTAGGATATTCTATTCACATATACTCAGAACTGATTCACAACTCGTCTACTTGTTCGCATGTATCAGAAGAACAATATCGCACTATAAATCATCAAAAATTGCAAGTGTAAACCCGCCTTCGGAAGAATTACGTCTGTCCAACTATGTAATATAACTCTGTTTTCTTTTAAAGCTTGCATACACATTGCTGGATACGTTAGTGACAGAAGTCTTTCCAGAAATTGAGCAGGTACGAAATTTTCAACTATTTGTCCAGCGATATAATGAGTGCTGTACGGAGTTATGAAGGCGAAGCCCTCACAACTATAACCTCGTAGAAATCTAGAGTGAATAATCTAATTGTTTTAGTAGATCAGAGATCAAACGTAAATATTCCTCAGAAAAACTGGAAGCCTTTTTTTAAAAGAAAGAGCCGGAAGCCATTTTTTAAAAAAAATGTTCCAGTATATCGAGGAATAGATAGCGAGTAGAGTATAGCCAATCAAATTACAGCATTTGCAATAGTATACTAGTATGATTCTACTAAATATAATTAGTATATTGCTGAGTCACTCGAATTTGGGGAACACTTAAGGACGGACCATTAGAGATTTTTATTGAGGGGGTTGCAGGATATTTTCACGCTCGCGGCTGTGTAGGATTTTTTGCGAGTCTATTTGTTTAAAATACCTGACACATACATTTGTTCTGGAATTTTTCCGATATTTTTCGATTTTTTTTTTGAAGGAGATCTTTAGGATTTTTAGATTTTTGGAACCTGTTTAGGGATTTTATAATTTTAGTGATAAATTTGAAATTCTAAAGTTTTTGCCAAGACATTTGGGAACTTTCTGCAAACACAGTATGCAAAGATTTTTCTAGTAGGGTTATGTCTTCAATTTGTGTTATCATATGAACATTGTGATCACGCTTACGAGAACGATATGCACTCATTCGCATGCAAGCACTTGTACATTTTTTCTTTTCGTTTTATACATGGCCTGTGCGTGGTCATTGGCTCGTGACTGTGCTTGCCATAGGGTTTAGCTAGCTATCAGTAATTGTTGTGTACACTTTCGTGCAACGTTTATGACTTATATGCGTTGTAAATTGCTAAATTGGATCGGCTCCGAAGGTACAACTTCTGTATTATTCGGAAGTCTTCCCTATCTAGAATCCTAACCCCGGTAAAAATGCCTATGGTTGCTGAAAGCGCATTTGATCGTGCTGTATTTTACTGTTGTATTTGTGTGTATATAGTACAACACATAAATATTGTTTCGATCTAACAACATTAGGCGAGTGAAAAAATGCCTTTTTGTGGTTGTAACCTTTCTTCAAACCTCGTCCTAAAATACGTGAAATAGCATTCGAATGAATCTAGAAATTCCAAATTTTAGACCCTGGCTACGCTACTGGTTTGAGTTTATCTAGTAATTGTGTTGTCTTGTCTTTTTCTCAGTTTTGGTTTTTGTAAACATATGTGTTGTACCATATTTATTGCTTATAGTCATATAGTAGAATAGTCAACAAATGTTATAAAATTAAAATTTCAATTACAGCAAGATACGAAAAATGAAGAGGAATAATAATACCACACGTAGGAGATCTTTCAAACATGGCGCGTGAGTAATGAATTAATTAATGAAATTAGTTTAGACTTCCGTGAACATTGTGACACTTTTTAAAGTGTGAATTAGTCCATTATAAAATTCGTCCTAAGGATGCAACACTATTCGGCCTTCTAGCTAAATTAAGCACTATCTAATGGCAATACTCTCCTAGATGTGTGCACAGTCTTGTAATAGAATTGGTCAATTCTGTTTCGAATTCACACCTACTTACCAAAAAATACAAGAAATAATACCAGACAAATAATAGATAAATCTTTCCGCATATAAATCGCGTGCTGCCAAGAGCGCAAAACACAAATTCTCCATATCGAATAATTGAGAAGTGTTTTTATAAATTTTAGTAAAATTTTAGAAATATGGAAAATGTGATATTACACATATTACAAAGATTTACGGTTGGGGTGCACCCCCGTTGCCTTTTCCATCACCAGCCCCTTCACCCACCAGAAAAAGTTATAGAGCACCGACCAGTGGTCAGCAAAATTTCCATGATGTATGGACGTTTTGAGGGCAGCTGGCGTGATAAAATAACGGCGCCCCCCCCCCCTGGAAAATCTGCACCCTCATCCTTGCTGGATATGCGTAGATTTCCCGCAGGGGGGTGAGGATGAAAAGTTTTAATATATCAAGCGTAGACAATGACTAATGATATGCAATCATCAAAAACGAAATTCACAGTCGCAAATCACCTTGATGAACATGTAACATAAAAAACTACATCAGTTAGATAGTAACAAACGTATGACATTTCATTTAAATAATCTAGTAATATACAGGGGTGGACATTAAAAAGTCCCCCCCCTGCCCCCAATAAAAGATGGTATATCTTGTTCTTTGTCATGTTTTTGAACTTGTTTAGTTTGGTTTTCGGATATGCGAATCTGTCACGTTTGAAAACTTACAAAAAATTTGCTGCATAACCTTGAGCAGTTCATTTCTGGATGACTAATGCAATGTAAAATGGCATAATATAGAAATTATTCAACGTTATTAGTAAATTTCTGATTCAAATCCGCCATTTTGAATTTCGAATCTATTTCTAATCCTTGACTTGAAATCACAAATTTTATTCACACATACACAAGAGTTACTAAAGTAGTTCAAAAACATAACTTTCTTTTCTTATAGTGACAAAGAACAGGATTTACCATTTTTTTATGGGAGGACATTTATCATTTAGGGAGATTCAGATACATTTATCATTTATCATCTATAAATGATATATTTTACCGAAAATTAAAATACTCCAAGTTGAGAATATAAAACTTACCACATACCTTCTTTTATTTTTTAATGTCCACCCCCTGTAGTCATCAATGATCATCACCAAAATTAGTAATGTTATAATATAATTCCATAAAATTAATTGTATTGATAAAATTTGTCCATTTACTTCATAGTAAAAATATTGTGCAAATTTTGTAAAAAATATTGATCTAAATATAGGTCTATTTTTATCTAATTTAAAATCAAAATACATTTCTCTAAACTGGCTGACTTTGACACTATGTGTATTTAACGAATCGAGTGCAGCTTTCTTATTATCTTGTCAGTACTGGTCACAACCCATCTGAAAATAATAAAATGAAATATTAGAAAACACATATATTCCAGGCTTATTTGCATGGGCAGGGAATTGCCCCGAAGTGTCTACATATTTTCCAGCTGAGGCCGGCTGTTCAAAGCTGGGTTAGCCTAACCCTAGGTTAACCTAAAATTCAAAGCTAACTTCCCAAACAGCTTGTTTGTAAATTTGGAAATATTCCTTTACAAATCTTGTCTGGATAAGTAGGAGTTCTCTTCTCTGAAGTTTTGAAATAAACAGATGTGCAGAAATACACAAACTAAAACAGCAGGTTAAATTTTAACCCAGGGTTAGCGTTAATCCAGCTTCGAACAACCTGCCCCAGGGCTTTCAGAGTCGGTGGATGTTTTAATAAAGTAGGCGGCTGTAGGGAGGATGGGGAGGGGGTTGAGGGGGGTGTAGAGAGTTTACTTTCGTTCTTCAACAATTAGATAACTTCAAGATTTAAGATTGCAAATAACTAAATCAGTTTTACGAAATAGTACGTCGTTTTCGAAAATAACCAGGCTATAAAGTAGAGTAGGTTGATGAAAAGAACTTTTTTTTGAAAGCTTAGAGTGGAGGAAGGAGAGCAGAATTGATATTTCAAGTACTAAACAAAGTAGCCAACGGTAAACCTCATGGCATCCTCCAGCAGCCGCTGGCTTATTTTGAAAGCTTTGCATATTGCCGTACTTCAACCAGTTGTTGTATTTTATAACTTAAATCCAAACTAACAAATATTAAAATATATCGCTTTCGACAAGTATGTCTTATGGCAGTCCGCCATTTATATGCACATGTTCTTGTTCGAATATGACCCGCTGATGGAACAATTATGCTAAGCTTCAAGAAAGCCAACCTCGTTCCCAGGCTTTTTCTTCTTAAATGAGGTTGCAAGAAAGTATGACTTTATTTTCAACATGAATTACAAAAAGGATTTTCATGTTTGAGTGGCAACAGGTCTATTTGTATACCTTGATTTTCCTTAACTCAGCTGCTGAAGGGCTTTTCTTGCTTCCCTATATATACATAAACACAAATATAAGAAGATGTCGTCGTTTTCTTATACTGATCCCTTGATCTCAAAACAAGGCCTAGATAGACCATCTGCTTTGCATAAACGAGGCAATGGCGGCCATAATGCCATTATATGTGACCACCGCAATTCTGCAGTGGTGTTGCTGACATATTACAGTATGCAGTACAGTACAGTATGGTATGGTATAATACAAAGGTTTCTTCATCCAGTCTTGGTTCGAGATCAGTGACTGAAATCGTTATGTATACCTTGCTAATATCCCTTCGCCTTTCTCTCGTTCTTTCAAACTTCGCAATACTCTGGGATCATTCCAATTTAATCTGCTGAACGCACGCACAGCCTAGGACGGAAAACTGTGACTGTAATGTAATGTAATGTAATGTATATAACAAATATTTTATTTAAGAGTTCAAAACTAATGAGTATATTTTTCCACTTGGTTATGACTATATCCAAAATTTTTATTGTTCGATACGTTTCTCAAGCGGCAAACAAACTTAAAAAAGTATGTTTAGTGCTTTATCCGTAAAATAATGCTAAAATGAAGAGATTTTAGATGGTACGCCAAAGATAAAATGATGTCTGAAGTTCAGTAAGTTTTGCTTATATTGCTGTATAATAGTATAAATATGGCGTCAATTTTACAGCATCAATGATAATTGTATTTAAATTGACAATATTTGTAAATATTTATTTTTAAATATTATTTTTATTATTTTTATAATAGTTAAAACTGTTTTAAAAAGTTGCTAAATGTGTAAACTACAAAATAAAGCTAAAACAAAATACTTTTGAGAGGAACGCCAAAACGATTTTAGGTTTTGAACACTTTTAATTGCAAATACGGGACATTTATTGAAAACAATTGTCTCTTAATAAAGATTTTCTGTTTCTGCAAACCAAAAACCTTATCCCCCACTGACCTGTATTCTGGCATAAACACTGGAGTCCAATGCCAAAATATCTAAGAGAGCTTTCAGCTCTTTCTCGCCTTTCATTTCTAAGGTCGCCTGTAAAACCAGAAAACGTTAACTTAAATTACATGTTTTAGTGTTTACTGTCGTTCCAATTGAAGTGTTGCTCAAATATTGATTCAATACATTACCTCGGGCTGACCAATTCATTTCATCAAGTTCCTCGAGATATTCATACACATCAAATACTCGGAATTGGCTCTTTCACAGGAAGTGTATGAATATCTCGAGGAACTTGATCAAATGAATTGGTCAGCCAGAGGTAATGTATTGAATCAATATTTGAGCAACACTTCAATTGGAACGACAGTAAGATAAAGTTGATTATTTACAAGCCAGGTTATTTAAGGACATAGCCTATCGAAGGGAAGATGGCTGTGAAGCTCATTATAATAACAATGTAACTCATTATCTATGTTAGTCAACGTTTATTCATAAATCTGGTCCTTCAACGTCACGTGTGTATTGTATTTTTGCCCAATCCACCAATAGCAAGTTCCAATTTACCCTATTGTTCGAGTCACGGATAGATAACTTTCCTAAAAATTGCTGTTGGTTAGTTGGGCAAAAATACAATTCGCACGTGACGGTGAAGGACCAGATTTATGAATAAACGTTGACTAACATAGATGAGTTATATTGTTTTTTAATGAGTTTCACAGCCATCTTCCCTTAAGCTATGCCTAGACCATGCCTGAAAAAATGCGATGATTTACCATAGATATGATCGCATGAGCACGAACAGTTTCTTGTCTGTCGTCAATACGTCTACAAAAACGCACGAGAGATCTAAACATCTAGGACGGCAACGTGACGACTACTACTGTAGTTATACAAAGATATTAATATAAAATATTTAAGAAAAAAAAATCAAACAGGAGATTTAAACGTCGTCCTCGGTCCGTTTATACAGCCGGTAAACGGGCTAGTAAACGGGGGTAAAGACCTACCTAAAATGATCTTGTTTTGTGATTGGCTTGTAGCAAGTTTGTCAACAAGTTGTAGCAATGCTGTTATTTTATCAAGTTGCTACAAGGTTGTCACTCACAACATGTTGACAAATTGTTGAATTGCAGGACGATAGCAAGTTATCAACAAGCCGTTAACAACTTGTCAACAAGCTGGGAACAAGCAGTGCGAACACATCCTGTTGACAAGTTGTTGGAGCGACATTGCTACAAGTCTGCTGCAGGTTTGTTACAACTTGTGCGTTTTTACGTGCGTTGTTGTATCCCAAATGTAGTTGTATTACGTGTGTCTGTCACAGTACCTGAGAACGAGGCTACACGCTCTATTTCTCAATCTTAATGTATTCAACAATTCTGCAACTTTAGATCTGACTTCCTGATGAGCGTGATCCCACAATAATCTCTCTAAGATCTCAAATATCTCGTCAACATCTTTAACCAGAACATGACGATTTCCTGAAGTAGAATATGGAGAGCAGTACTTAAACACGCGATATTTTCAGCAATATACCGTGAAAGTGCGAAGTAAACATCCACCAACTACAAATGTAAAGAGTTTACAAAACTCGCTTACCTACAAACATCAATAGATCACAAGCCTGCACCCGGACCTTAAATATAAAGTACAATTATGTTTACCAAGATTGTTTATTTTGCAAAGGTTAGGGCTGTTTATTTTGCAAAAGTTATGGTGTAAGGGCTAGGTTATGGTGTAAGCGTTAAATATAGGGTAAGATGTAAGATTGGGATGTGGACAGTGGTGTAACTTTTTAACTAGGGGCTCTTTAAATGAGGTCTTGGGCATTGGCGGGCACTTTTCGAAATATTGAGAGGGGGGGGGGGCTATTGCCCTATACAATTCAGGCACATTTGATTAGGTTATAGCCTATCAATGCATTCATGGTTGTAAAATTATTGCAACAGCTTTGCATTGAACTGCAGCTTTGTGACAAAGTTATTCAGCCACCATTCAAAGGCTTTCAGAAATTGTTGGGGGTAGCGGTCCCCCCTCTCTGAAACACGATCTGCTGCATATTAAGTGATGTTTTAAAATTAACAGTTTGATCATATTAAAACAAATATAATCACTACATGGCTCATTAGTCAGAATGCCTTCTTAGATCAATTAGTATTACTACTGTGGCCGTGGATTAGCTGCATTTTAATTGTACAATAATGCCAAATCTTATCCAATTGGTAATTTCATTTATTTTGATCTTGATAAAAATCATGAAGGGGCTGAATCGCTGCTCCCTTATATTTCGTACCTTCCAATTAATTGAAGTATTCAATTCATGTAACAATGCTTCCACGATTATTTTATCTTTACTGTTCATTTGACGGACCAAAACATTGAAGGCCTAAAAAGTCGATTTATGAATTTGGTGTGTGATTAAGTATATCATTGATTGACTATCGAATTGAACGATTTATTAAGTGACTGGGTAACTAAATGATTCGGTGATTGATTGACGGAATAATAGGATGATTGAATGGCTACCTGATTAATTAGCTGATTAATTGATGATGATCAGTTGGCAGAGCATTGGACTAGTATCCCAAAGGGCGCGGGTTCGATTCCCACCGTGGTTAGGCAAACTTTTCAGCTTGCTCGGTGTGGATGCACACTCAGAGTAACATCACAAACATCATATTCACCTGAGTACACAACACCAACACACAAAAAAGTATTGTTATATAGTTAGTGTCAAAGTTCAATTTTTCTGTTTGCCGATTGGTCAAAACCGTGTCACGTGCCGGTCCACAAAATGTCATATGTTCGGCAACCGGTCCGCAATGAAACATTGTTGACCGGTCAATAATAAAATGGGTGCAATACGCATGCGTGTCAACCATGAAGTTCCAAAGTTCAATTTTTAAACTTTTTACTAAACATTTACGGCGTTCCATTTATCCAGTTTTGGTTTCAAATTAAGGGGGAGCTTCACCCCAATCGTACTTCAAAATGGACAAAACTTTAACAATTGTTAGGAGGCATATTTTTAAGCAAAATATGCATAAACTATATATTTTTAGAAACTAGAGATCTTCAGCTATCAGCTGAGACAAAAAATTTTCCAGTTCGGTGTATCGGACTGAAATTTGACACCAAAGAAGCAAGTAGTATATGGAAAACTGGATTTTACAGGCCACTTTTGCCCCCCCATAAAATTTCACATAATATGTGATGTATCTAAGTGAAAATGCACCTTGTGGTAGCTAAGATATTGAACTACGCTCCTATGAGCCATTTTTTTGTAATTCACCATGGTTGCTATGGTAACGGATAAAACAGATTGCATATACACTTTTCACTATAAATCCTGTTAGAAAATAAATATTAAAAAAATGGCTCATAGTTGCATTCTACATACCTTAAACTACATCTGTGCCAAAAATGGGAAATTTTCATTAAAACAGTAACAAGAAAAGCTAGGGGGGCAGTTGACGTGCGGCCAAATATCACATTTTGAGAAATAGACAGTTAAAGTTTAATTTCCGTTGGAACTTGTTGTTTGAGTGTTATAAGAGTGTTTGAGGCTCTATTCTTTTCTTGGCAGCTTGCTTTTGCCCTTTTTACCACTACTTTTCCTTGTCATCCTCTTTCTCTTAGTTGAACCACTAAAACAATCCACGTTAAATGCCGCGCTATCATATGTTACTCCTTTCCGTGCCTTCGATCTTGCCTCTTCCGCCAATTTTGCCTGTTGAATCTTCTGTCTTGCTTCCTTGAACTTCATCTGGGCCCTTGCATTTGCTTGTTTTACTCTCTTGTCATTCTTTCTCCCACTTCCAGTTTTTGTATAAAAACCAGCAGACATTTTCAGCTCTTTCATTACATCAAGTCGACCAGCCGCACCAATGTTCAATCTTTCTTCCAAGACTTTTCTTGTTGCTATATTCACCGATTGATTGTGTTTTTGGTGAGCACTATCACTATAAACTGGAGGGCCAATGTTCAAAATGTCACAAATAGTTAAAAGAATTTCCCAACCTAAGCCCAGCTCACCCATAGGAAAATTAATTCTACATCAAAAGAACATGCCTTTCCCTCAACTGGCTTCTATGTATCCATGTCAATCCTCTGCACTCAAAATAATAATAAACTAAGTACTGCTCAGTCCAGCACGTTTTGCAGCATCTTCAGAAGTTATAATGTTTTCATTTTTGCACTTATGCATGTTCTCAACTGTTTTCCTAATGTTTTCAATACAAACAATCCGATATCCTTCGTTTGCCTTGCGGTTTATAATATCCCTTCAATTTCAGGAGTAAATTTGAGGTGATTTTAAATTAGCTTTCTCCAGTTTCTTTGCCGATGTTGACTTCTCACCAGTTTTATTCAATAAATCGTCGTCATATTAGTCTTCATTTTACTCTTCTGATCCAGATTGAGAGCCATGAACTTTCCTTCAAAACATCGCCATCTTCGCAAAAATCAGAGAATCGTTTCCCTTTGAAACGGGCTTTTTCTTTGATTTGTTTTTCACACGAAAGTTTGTTCCTTCTTTGGAACCTTTTGGCATTATTACAAACCAAAAATGCAACAAAATATAGCGATAAAATAGAAAATTTAGCGGAATATATTCTCAAAGCCTCATGTAAATGAGTAAAATTATGTAAATAACAAAATTATGCAATTGTAGCATGTCCCTATGTGCCTCTCATATCCATAATACACACCATTGGCATAGGTAGCCCTGTATAAAATTTTTACATTCAAATCGCACAGTAAAACGACTTTTTTAGAGGATTTTTCAAGCTCGTTTCCATGGTAACCTGGTGTAAACATTCAATGAAATCTCACAGCCTTTCTCTAAAGTCTATTTTTTTCCGTAAAAAGTATGGAAATTTAAATAAAGACTTCACTAGTTGATAAAATACATGTTTAGGTATCCTATCATGATGTTTTAGAAATTTTGACATTTTCATCCTAATCGACCAAATTTTGAGGTGAAGCTCCCCCTTAAGTTCACTCCAATAACTGGTGAATTATTCATACTTTGACACTTATATACTATATAACAAAACACTTATTTACTGATACCTCGGGAAAGTAGTGTGTTTTGTGGCCCCTCGACCGCCGTTGTTGCCCGGCGGTCTCGGGTCCACAAAACACACTGTTTCACTCGGTCTCAGTGAATAAGTGATAATTATATCTTAGAATACATTGATATCGAAGGAACTAGACTCAGTTCCGAAGTATCACCTCGAGTACACAACACCAACACACACACACACAAACACAAACACAAACACAAACACAAACACAAACACAAACACAAACAGGTTTCATATATGCATATTCTACATGTTATGAAATTTATTCAAGAGTAGTATAATTTGTCCTGAGTAGTACATAACACCAACACACACAAAAAGTATACCTCGCATTTCTGTTTTGAAGTTAGTGACTTAGTCTGGATAACTTCCAATAGATATCTCTTGGCAATAGGATGAACAACAAGCAATCTGCCGAGACACAGCGCACTGGAAAACGCCAAGGAAGGCTCGTTGC